AGATTTTTATAAAAGCATCATAAATAGGTGTTTATTTTTTTCTCAATTTTTGAGATGTTCACATGATTCTATTCTGTTTGCTTTGTGATAAAATCCGATTCATATTTTTAAGCTTAAAAAAAACTTAAGTAAACTTAATTTAGTCATAAAACATTATTATTTTTACATATTGCTTCTCCATAAATTAATAAAATTTTCTTAGAATTTTTGCATTGTTGATCCTAAGAAAGATTGTTTACAATTTTTCTTATTCTATATCCAAAAGAGGTGTTTTGGGGAAAAGCATTTTCATAATAGATACTTTTATTTCAAACATAATAAATAATTTAAATTTTAAATCTCTTTTTCTGTAAAGCTTAGTAAATTTACTTTTGGAAAAATGTATCTACTTCATCCAAATTGGATATAAACGTTCTTCATAATTTATTTCGTATTTTTAAAATGATTTCTGTAGTATATCTAGTGATGTGTCCTTTCGCATTTCTGATATTTCAATTTTGTACATTTTTCAATTTTTTTCTGGATTACTCTTGATAATTATTAGGTTTATGAGTCTTTTCGGAGAACCAACATTTGACTCTGGCTTTTCTCTACCTGCCCAATTCTGTTCAATTGCATTAATTTCTGCTGTTGTCATTGTTGCTCACCTCTAATTAAGCAGAAAGTTATTTTTAAAATACTTAAGGTAAAACCTTAAATCATTGATTTCCATGTTTGCTTTTTTTTTTTCAAAAACCTGTCTTTAGGCTATAATTTCCGTGAACCAATTCTTTACCTGCACTACACAAGTTTAGATGTCATATTTTTATCATTGTTCAGTTCAACATATTTTCTTTTTTATAACTTTTTCTTTGACTTACACTTTTGAATTAACTTCGTGTTATTTAACTCCTTCTGCACAGATTACTTAGAAGCCTAGAACTTGATTTGCAGGCAGATGAAGTTTGACCATTTATCTTTTAGTTATTGATTTCAGTTTAGTTCCATTGTGGTCAGAATACATATGCTAAATAGTTTCAATATTTAGGAATGCGTTCAGGCTTATGATCTAGCATATGGTGAAATTTGGTAACTTTCATGAATACTAGAAATTATGAATTCTGTCATTTCTTTTTGTCTGTTAAGTGTTCCACTTATTTTAGTCATGTCTGTTAACTTCCTTTTGAAACTCAATAAATCACTAATGTTCAATTTGTTTCTTCTTTTACTTATTAAAAGAAATATGCTAAATGTCACACTATGATTCTTATATGTCTTTTGTTCCTTTTAGTCCTGTCAAATTTTTCTTCATGGTTTTAAGGGCTCTGGTGTTGGGTATTAACCAAAAGGGCCTGAACGTTTCCCTCATCTTGACTAAACTCTAAACAGATTTATTCCTGACTATAGGCCCCCGATCTCCCTTTTCTTCAAGAAACTTGCAATAGGAAATTCCTTTCTGTCCCTTTAAGGTGTAAATATTCTAGCAGAAATGTCTTTCTCAAGAACCTGGGAGCCATCTGCTTGAAATGTAAGCATCAGAAGAAAAGGAGATGGTGCACTTACCTCCCAGTCTCTGTGGGAAAGGAGGAGACTAGCTTCAATAAGGGACAATTAGCAAACACAGATGGCCCATCACACTGAACACCCTCCCTGCCAATGTCCTCTAGCACTTTCCACGAGCTAATCATCCTAGTGTTTTAAAAACCCTCCTGCCTTTTGTTTCAGAGGATTGAGCTCAATTGTAAGTCTACTATAAGTCTCTCTCCTTTATTACAATAGTCTTAATAAAGTCTTAGCTGCCTTTTTAATGGGTGTGATTCATATAAATCAATAATTATGATATATATTACTATTGGATTTTCTTATTAGTATGGAATATTTTTACTTCAATTAATGTATCTTGCTTTAAAATGTAGTCTACTAATTTTTCACTACTGTGTGCAGTACATACTTCCCCCTTTAACCTCAACTTATCTGTGCTTACATGTCTTTAGTAAAAAGCAAATAGTCTTCTATTATTATGCTTATGATGACAATAATGATTTTTTACCCAGTGCTACAGTATTAGTCTTTTATTTTGAATAGTTAATGTAATGAGAAAAATATTTAATAAAATAACCACTACAGTGAAATTAGATCTGACCCAACATAATTTATTAAAAAGACAACCCAACCCTTTCCCAGATGACTTTTCCCATTTTCTACTGTACTGTCTTATTTCAGAGTAGTCCAATTTGATACATTCCTAACTTCTCAATCTCTTCATCTACTTATCCTTCCTTTCCTTTATTATTTTTTTCACATTGCAATGATAATTATCTGAATATCATTTCTACTAATTTCAACATCAGGATTACCTTCCATTTGGTTTCTTTTTTTCTTTGATATTGGCCTTGTCTGGTCTTATACGTTGTAAGTTAGGGTTTTATGTCCATCATTTGTAAAAAAAGGACTGCAGAGGTTTGAGAAAATTTCATCCTCAAGAGGTCACCTCTTCTTATTTAACAGGCACTTTCTAAGGAGTTGATCTTTTTAGAATCTACTCCTTAGGTGAGGATTTGGCTATCAGTGTTGGGTTGTAATTACACGGGACTCAGCCTACCTCTCATTCGCGCCTGTTCTCATGGTGTGGCCTTCAGATGCTTGTGGTGTGAGCATCTGCTACTTCAGCCCTGTAACACTGTGGAAGAGTCAATTCTACCCTTCAGAGGTTTTCTTTTTATCACTTTAGTCATCGGCCACACGTAAATTCAAAATGCAGCAAATGTCTTAAAGAGGAGATGGGTTGTGCATTTAAAAGCCCATTAAACCTCCATTTTTCTCAATTCAATCTACGGTGGCTGGAAAAAAACGTTGCCCCCTGTCTTGGAAAAGCAACATTTCTTAGGTGCTAATCCTAGATTCTCAGTTTCTAACTCGGCCTTGAATTCATAAATGTACCCCCTGGAGGAGAGGGGGAACAGTTGTAGAAACTCAGTGTCAATTCATCATTCTCTCCAGGGTTTTCTATCCTTGCCTATTTTATTTTCAAGCACCTCCCCCTACAGAGGTTTTTATTTTATTTTATTTTATTTTTATTTCTTAGGCACCTAAAAGTCTGTGGTAAACTTCACTCTGCTTTCAAAGACTTAGCATCTAGCATTATCTAAAATTCAGCAAATACCTTGTGGGGAAACAACTATTTTAGGCCTATTGAGTCTAGAAATGTGTCACTCCCATCTCCACAACCTCTAAAAATCTGCTTTTTCTTCTTTCTCCATCAGCCACTCTTTGCCTGGGAAAATGCACATTCCTCAGCTTCCAGACTAAACCAAGAATTGGCAAATATTCACAGAATTAAATAATCAATGAAAAAATAAAGAGAGAGAGAAAAGGAAAAAAAGGAAACAAGGGAAGAAGGAAGCTGTGAATTCCCAGCTTAT